GGAATATCTATCAACCTTTGCAGTTTAGAGGAGGATACACACCGCCTACTCTGAAGAGAAAAGCATTTAAGGGATGCTATTGTAGAGCAGCCAAGACTTCTATTTCTCCCCACAGGGACTAAGTGCGGCTGTTCCAGAGTGAGCTCCGCAGACTCGAGGGTCCCAAGGGCCTCAGGGTGACGACTGCAGGTGGTTTCTCTGTGACAGCCCAGGCCCCTATAGCTTGGGCTAGAGACTCACTTCTTGCCTTGTAACCTACACTTTGACAACCTCTTTAGACGCTTCTGTATCCTTTTGACATCATGACTCTCCCAAATCATGTTCCGCCAGTTCTTTAGGATACCCAGGTAACACCACCCTCCCGACATGTGGGCAGAACACTGTATAAACTACCTGAATCAACTCTGTAAGAGATGAATGTTTTATAGAACTTTTTAAGTGCTGCATATATTCTGGTGACTAAACTGGCAGTTTCTTTGTAGGTTTGGATACTCAAGATGAAAGCAATATAAGCATTAATTCCTAAGATCATGAGTCTCAGAGAAGAAAAGTCTCTGGATTCTTGAAACCCGAAGAAGAAGGTATTATTAGTGATGCAAGGGGAAATTAGCAACAATACCTTCTTCTTACCCACACTTCAGTGTGAGAATATGATGATATGGCTGCTATTAAAAAACCAACTTAACTATACTACTTCTGGTAGTATTCCAAAACTATAAATAAAACAGTTCAACATTTAATGCCTTTAGATTATTATTCCCCTTGCAAAGCAAGTTCAGGGCATCTTGAAATGTCTTCAAATGACATCCTGCTACCTTCAAATATCTTGAAAGTAGTTCATGGGGTCTGCTAATCACTGGCTGACAAAAAAAGTTGTTATATTATGAAGAAAAAAAGAAGAGTTCACTAAAAACACTGCAGAAGCTAATAAATAAAACCCAACCAGTTCCTAAGAAAATGTCTTTAATTTTCATTTTATGGAAATACATTTTTTGCTTTTTATTTCCATGATACAAAAATGTTAAATATCAAACAGTTTCTGAAATCTACCAATGCAGATCCTTTTTTAAACAAATAAAGGGCTGGTGCAGTTAGCAGGTTTGTCACAGGTACCAAAAACATTTTTACAAAACCCCCACAAGCTGGGGAAGAAGGAGGAAAGAAACGGATCAAGACCTCAGAGTGAAAACAGCAAGAGATGTGAAAACAAAGAAAAACTACCTCCCACCAGGAAAGAACGTTTGAGAAAGTCACTGGTTTTGCAAGGGTGAAAGTCACTGGTTTTGCGTGCGTGAGGTCGGAATTCAGGTGAATACTGGCTGCACAGGGCTGGGGTAGAGAAGAGAAAGCTAAAGAAGATTTGCAGATAAAGTAACTGGCAGAAAGCAACACGTGAAACTGCAGTTCCACCTGTTGGGGAACACGGACAGCATGCTGACACGGCCTGGAAAGCAGCTGAGGACGAGGAGACTTGTGGTAACTGCCCTCAAGCACAGGAAACAGCCGAGCGCGACATCAGCGGGTGCCAGTGCTTTCTGTACGTGTCACAGCCAGCATGCCAGGGTCGGGACCAAAATACATGTAGTCTGGCTTCTTAAATCTAACTTCATTTACGACAGCAAGGATTTCACAGGATCAACAACGAATCGCATACTAGTTTATATATATACACACGGGTAAAATTAACAGTGATTGTTCAATAAACAGTTTAAAATAATTAAACTGATTTTCAGGACACATACTGCGTTGTTAACACCACTTTATTTAAATAAAGTATGGCTTCCAAAAGGTGTATTCTCGCAACTGCTTTCCATCAATTCCACTTGTTAAGGCAGCTGTTTCCTACCATGTTTCAGGGACTTCAAATATTTCAGTGGAACTATTTGTGAGGCTTCCTAAAAGAGAGTCATGGAACAATATATTAAAGACTTCAATAAGCAAACACTGGAATTAACAAAAATTAAATCAAGAATCCTTTTATCCTTTCAGAGCATGCAAAGACATATTTTCTCCTCTAGAGCGAGGCTCTAGATACACTACTGACAAGTGCCAGTAATATAGGCAATGTTCCAGACGACCAGTAATTAAGATATGACTTAATTCTTTAATGGAGCCTTATCAACTTCTGCAAGAAATTACTAACAAAAAATAAAACAGAATCAACAATAAGAGATCAATAAAAAAATACTTTGAGGTTTAAATTTAGGTCATCTAAGGTTATTTAATTCCTTTTTTTCCTACCTGCTTCAATAATTCACACAACTTGAAATTCCTCAAGCTTGCACCCAAAGTGCAGAGCCGTCAGTGACTGGGGACTGACTGCTCCCAGCTGAGCAAGCCTTCCCAGTGACCAAAGGCTGACTCGGACGTGTGGCACGCTGCAAGAGGTGCTAAGGGTCACTATGATCTACCCATCCAAAACGTTTGGAAGGGCTTTTAAACACTTTTAAACACTTATCATCGTCTTGCCCAACCCCTCAGCTAAGGGATCCATAAACACCCCCCACCCCGGAAGCTAAAGGGCCTGCTCCGGCAGCTTACTGCTTCCTCGAGCTGTCTCAGAAGGTCAGCACACCATCAGGAAGTGCTCTGGAGAGGAAAGGCTTTCCGCCGAGTTGCAGCTTAGTGATTTATACCAGGGAATATATAAAACACTGACTGGGTCACAGTGCCCTCAGCCTAAAGCAGCCTGGCGGCAAGCAGCGTGCCAGAGGAGTGGTGAGGGGCAGGGACACCGTTTGGGCTGAACTGCAGAGGTAAATACTGTTCTGAGCAGACTGAGAAACTATTGTTTTCTCAGCTTACAGAAATATCCTACCTCACAAATAATCCTAAGTAAGGGATGTCAGTAGAACATTATCAGGATATATACTCTTCAAGCGCAATTAGAAGAGTGCATGTATTAGCTTTCCGGGCAGCAGGAAGGTCTGTTAAAACTGGATTTGTTTGCAAGCAACACAGATTGTCTAATGACACACGTGTGGAAAGTCAGCTCTGGGTATTCAAGCACACTGTGAATCCACCCAGTCCAACGTAAGGGAAAGCGTCCACACCGAAGTTACCCTTACATTCTGTGACACAGTATTGCATTGCCAGGGACACCTGCTCTAGAATCCTGCTTCCAGAATTCCTTCAGTTTTGCTTATTCCTTTTGCTTATTCAGTTTTGCTTAATTCCTTCAGCTTTGTTTTAAGGAAGAAAATAAGCAAGTAAGAAAGCAACTACATCCTGCTTCCTTTGCTTGGTCTCAGGTGGGGTTTTGTTTGTGGGGTTTTTTTTCTGTTGTTGTCTTTTTAACAATTTTTACGTGATGCAATCTTCAGTTTAAATAACCTTTCTCGACTGCAATGGATGTTAAAAGTTATTCTGCAATAAGATGTTCAAGAAAACACCTTCAATTCAGTTCAGGCCTAGGGTAGTTCTAAACAGAAGAGAAAACCCTGCACAAAACATTGTGCTTACCTGCTGGAACATGTTCTGTCTTCATCTTTTTGAACTTTTTGGCTCTCTTCTTACCAGCTGGAAGGGACTCTGCACAGGAGTCTGTCTGATCATATTCTGGATCTTGGCTTTCTCCCTCTTCCACATCATCAGAACCAGTTTCTTCCTGAATAGGACTCATGCTCCTTTTTCCCACTGTACTGGTGCCTGTAAAACTGAATTGTAGAAGGAACACGATAACCAACAAGCCAAGCAAAGCTATTACGTATGTAACAGTTGCTGTAAAACTATTAAAGGTAGTAGAATAAACTGTAGTAAATGGTGCACCATGGAATTATTTTATCTAGAAGATCTGACTTAACAAAAAATTCCCTAAATTGGCTAATGAATCCAGTCTGACAGAGATGCAGGTACTCATTCTGGGTACCACAGACGTCTCAGGCTTAGCTCCTCTTCTGATGAGATCACTCAAATGTTCTCCATCCCTGCTTAGTTTTAAGTTTTATTCTCTTAGTTATGAAAGCTCCTGTAAGGCATTCTCAGCAGACATTAAGCTATACACAACTGTTCAGCTCCCACCTAGTTACAGGTGTCCCTGCCCCCTGCAGGGCCTGGACTAGAGGGCCCTTCCAGCCCAGCACATTCTATGATCCCATCGATCGTTGATACTGAAGGTTTCTCCGTGCTTTCTCCTCCCTCTCTCCTGGAACTATACGCAGTTCTAAAAGCATTTCTGTTACACAAAGCCAGGGAAAACCAGCCAGCTCCACACACTGCCTTTTAGATCAGGCCCTCAAGTGAAGAGCCCTGCCCGCCAAGCGGCTGGTAGATAAGCAGCACACCACATCGCACGCTGACTAACAGAGCGCGCAGGGCAACGCAGAGCTCCACTTGGTTCAGCATCCTCTGAAATAACTGCATATTTTCATTTGACTAGAATGCTGTTGTTAAGTTTCCTTGAAAGACAAATGATATTAAAATCAAATGAACATAAGAAAGAACGCAGCAGCAAACAGGCTATTGAAAAAAATTAGTTCTCATTACACACTTCTAGATATGTGAGTATTAGCTAATTAATGTCTATTTTACAACCATTAATTAAAAAAAAAGGTAGCTTTAGACTTAGGAACCTTTAGGTCCCTCTAGCAGGGAATTACGGTGTTTCAGTGGGGTTTCAGTCAAAGGACTGTTAAATTTGGCTAGATAGTTTTGGCTTTGAAATGGAATTTTTTCAGCTGAACATTCTGCAATTTAAAACAGACTCTTTCTGGGATGTCCAAAGGCAATAAACGAACATGAAACATGATTACATCCCATGATCGTGTTTCCACCTGAGGCGCACAAACGCCACTGACGCTGAGGAATAGCTGCTTTTCCTCCAGACGTTCACACGCAGAGGGACCTCTCCCACCCGTTCTTACGAGTCATCAAGTCACACCACAGCCACCACCGATTCAAAGAGGCAAGACAAAAAGCTGGATATAACCGTTAATCCTACAGATACACTTCAAACCAGGTAAAAACCTACGTTTGGAAAGAATAAAAGTCTTGTGGAGAAAGAGCATTTAGAAAATTAAAAACTACTTCTAAAACATTGGTTAGAGAAGTTTTTAAGAATTCTACTTTTGGGAAAGATATTCTGAAGAATATGTAACCAAGACAAAAAAATATCAGGAGCCATACATTATGACCCCAGGCCTTCTGAGACATATTGTGAGGACTCAGCTCTTACAGGAGAACTTGCATTCGCTGTCAGAAGAAGCTCCCTTCATAAAATGTCTTATTGATTTTTTTTCAAGTTGAGACTTTTGAGAAGTCATTGCAAATAAAGAGAAACAAGTTCTCGACCTTCAGTGTATATTTAGTTGTGTACCAAAGTACAAAATAAAAATCAATTTTAGTCTTTATGTTCTTCCCGCAGATACCTTAAGGGGAAAAAACACAGCACAAAATTCAAAAAGTATATATATTTTATAAGCAAGAACCGTTGACTTCTTGCTTCTCCCAAAATGTAAATTTTATTCTACGTTCATTCCATTGCATGAATTCTAGATAGCTAAGGCTGAATTTTTTGTGTCTTATTCTTCTTTGACCTAAAATAAGATTCAGGGACTACAGCAACATTGTTTATGCACTTAGTAACGGGAGCAATCAGTGTGGTTGTAGAGCAAAGTTCAGTTTTCTATTATAACAGATATTCTGAATCATGTCCCTATTTCTGTCCCTGCCCATGACAGGGAGGTTGGATTAAATGATCTCTAAGGTCCCTTCCAGCCTAGGCCGTTCTGTGATCCTGTCTCAATTTCCTTACTCCCCTGAAAAATGACTAAACAAAGTGAAAGAACCAAGCTAACAGCTACCAGCAATGGTCCCGTTCAGACACACGTGTTGAGGACCCGCAACTGTTTGGACACCTGAACCCTTCAGAGACTGAGATTTACATCATCCGTTAACAAATGCAACACTTAGCTTTAAAAACCCACATGTACAACAGGCAATGATTTTTTTTTAAGAATATATTTAAAGAGGTTCTGAAATTTATGGAAATTGCTTTCAGTTTTAACATAGAATTACTGGCCACAGTTTCTGGGGGGTGGCAGGACAACCACAAAACCCCCAGTGGCAAATCTGCTTTGAGAACACACTGTGGCTTTCCCAGCAGCGAGTGGTGATGGCAGGTGGGTCCCAAGCCTCTCCAACATGGGCCATTTCCACCAGTCCGGCTTCCCCAACCTCTCCCTGCCGGTGGCCTCCTTTGGTGCCAGCCCAGAGACAACCCAGGCAGGGATGACTGCCCCTGGAAGAAGGTGGTAGAATCAGAAAATCTGGATTTTTGTCTCAATTTCTCTTTCTATTAAGTACAATCCTAACCAACAGAGAACGCCATGTTTTTGTTGAATTACAGCAGTCTGCCTAGCACCCTCGGTCCAGACCACAATCGGATGGGACCGGGATGTGGAGGACTGCCACAGCACTGCGGCCACCAGGGGCAGGGGCTCCCCCCGGTTCAACTGCCCACCAACGGGGTATCGGCACTTCTGCTGCTCAACAGCAGCAAGCCAGCCAGCACTGTGACAATGAGTTCGAAACAATCAGAAACTGGAGCGGGGGCAAAGGTGGGAAAACAGTAACGATGATGTAGCGTTAAATATCTTCTGTTTTGGAAAAGCACGTCCTACTTTTAAAAAGCCTGCGTCCATCACAACAGAGCATCTTGGATAGCCCTGGAGAGAGACACACCTCCAACTTCAAGAGAATCTCATTTAAATGAAAACATAATCCCTGGGTTCTCTTGTCTCTTTGAACAACATTGAAGAGGGGAGCAGTTAGAGATCCATCATAAAAATCTGTCATTTCAGTTTAAAAGCAGCTGAAATCACCTAAAATAATACTGAAATACTGTAACTTGCAATATCTGTATCTCTAATGACTCAGCTTTTTCCAAGCGTTAGCCATTATTTAGCAATAAACCACTACAAATAACCATTTCTGTGGAAAAAAAAAGGGCAAAAATTTATCAGAAATACATTTTAAAAATGAAATAAAATATCTTCAGTAAAATAAAGGCGTTCAAGGAAGTGGCATCACAAACAGCACCCGCACTTGACAGAAGATGCAGCCCTCTCGGTTTTAGCTAGAAAATTTGTAATGCAAACCAGCGTATCGCTTTTCTGTATGTCACATTAGAATAAGTCTTTTGCCACTGGTCTTATTCTATTTCACTCTTAGATGATCAGGAACATTAGAATAAGTAAGTCTAAACAGAGCAGGATACCTAGTTGTACACAGACCATACCTAATTTGATTTCTCATGCTATGGTTTAAGGCTATTTTGCTAAGGAATCCACGTGTGTTAAGAGTCCCGGCAGAGCTGGCAGACGGCTGCTGGCTCGGCACGTCGCTGCTGCGGTGTCACAGGCAAGAGGCCGCCATTCGACCATCTCAAAAGTGTGTTCTGAAGAGCGAACAGCTTCAGAGAAGGGCATTTATCAGCTACTTGAAGTTTCCTCAGATGGATCAGTTTTTCCTCTAGTCCTCCATCTGACACTAACAGTCAGGCGTATTGCCATTAAAATAGCATTTTATATCTAACAGTAGCAAAAAGTTCTATGCAAGGGGTATATATTAATTATTAGTGATTTTGCCTTGTGACTGCTATTAATACTATTGTACTCTATTTTCTGAGAAGTAGTTCCTCTTCAAGATGGGACTGTAGTTTTTTTAGTAAGATAGGAATTAGAGTAGCTTTGTTACATACATACCAATCTGTCCATTTAAGGCAAAAAGTTCTTACAAGAAATACCCAACCTTTTCATTACTGAATGAAAAAGTTGTCAAGAGATATTGTTATCAGGGAGAGGAACAGCTGCTGAAACTGAGGCAGCAAGCTTATTAAATAAAAAATAAATAATGAGGTTCCATGAAGGTATTCTAAGAGATCAGCTCCTAGATGCATCACAGTACTGAGTGCTCAACTATATACACACACACATTTCTCCTAATTGCTTCATATAAATCTGTATTTATGTTATATAGACTGTATTTTATATACAAATGGTTATATATAATAGATAAATGGGTATTTTTCAGGTCTCTTTGGAAGCAAAAGGCAACTGTTCATCTTGAGTGAACTGAAAGACCACAAAGTTTGTAGTTCAATGTTATACTTGACCAGATCACACTTAAGAGGGAACATTTGCACAAGACCAGTTGACACGAGAACACAACCTAACTAATACCAAATAAAAAGAAAATTAACAAAAACACATCAAAAGACCTGCATGAAAAGGAATTTGGGACAGAGCCAAATCACTTTACTATTGGAAAAACGAGAGGCCAAAAATTCATCCAACATCACTTACAAAAGAAGTTCTACCAACAAATTAAGGTTGCTATCCAATGCTATCAAAGTGTTGATCATCTAAACCCAAGGCTGCTTCTTGTGGAATTTTACAACACCAGAAGAAAATAGATTAAAAATTTTCCAGGAGATTTTAAGTGCTTAGGCATATAACTTGTTGCAGCATATCATAATTTTAAGGAGTAATTCACTGACACCTGTATTCAGCCATTTTCCAAATTATACATTTGCAGTAGTCCTCAAACTTCTTTAGCAGATAACCAAAAACCAGCTTTATGAGTTTACTGTTTCCCAAAGATTACGTTAAAGGAGTTGCCTGTGGTTCAAAGGGTAAGCTGTCACTCCTACCGTCTAGAATCTGAGATACCCAGAAAACACTGAGATACTTCCTCTGGTAGAAATAAAACGAGGGCTTCGTGTTTCTTTGCAGTGGACTCAAGACGTGGAAGGGTTTTTCCAGACTGTCTAACAGAGACTCCCTTGCAGAGCTAAGCCACAGCCACATGTAAACTGCTGCCAGGACAACCTCTCCAGCTCCTCCTCTCTTCGCAGCACGCACTCCCAAGTTTTCCTACGTACAATAGTTCAATTAAAGTAACTTCATGTAATATGGCTTTTATCACCAGGTTCCTCCATATGGTTTTTAAGAATCAAGCATGTCTCTAACACGTTTAGAATTCCCACCATGACACCAGCCATGAGCACCTGACAGCTGGCCAAAATACACACCTGCGTTTCATTTTGCAAAGTAGGCAAGTCATAAGCTCATGTAAGTGAGAAGAACAGAAGTAATTTAGTATATTTGTTACATGACAGATAACATTTACAGGAAGATATAATGAGAGCTAGAACTTAGAGCATTCCCAAGAAAGATAAAGCAGAAAGACCCCAGTGCTGGTTTTAAGGCCGTCTCATTTGGTCTGTCTAACCAGGAACAAAAAAAAAACAACAAAAAAATTGCCCCCAAACTAAAACCAACCAAACAACAACCAACCCCACCACCTTACAGTAATGTAACATGCACTCCACTGAAACTTACTTTTATACAGAATTTATCGACTCAGGGGCAGGGGGACGTGGGGGAAAGAAACAATGGCTGTAACCTGAAAGGTTAATTATACCATTGGATTAACGCCAAAAGACCCTTCCCTCCATAGCTACACCGATGACTGAGAAAGAAGCCTCCTGTTACCACCACATCCAAGACCTGCCCTTAATACAGAAGAGTAAAAACAGAACAAGAAACACACAGGGAACATACTGTACCAGCATCAAAAATGGCATTTCTGGACTTAAGTTCATCCTTAAGTAATGATCTAAACCCCTTTTCCAGTTCTACTCCAACAGCTTAAAGCCATGCACATACCATCACTATGAGGATGGCTTCATCAGGACTGCTCAAGATGGTAATTTATACCCTTCTCTGTGGCACTATTATCACCACGGAAAGCCATTCAAAAACCAAGGTGGCCTTTACAGGGGTACAAGATGACACAAGCCACTCAGAGGTCTCAAAAGAAAGAAAATAGTTCATTTATTTGGGTTATAAGAAATGGTACTGCTACATCAAGCTCAGAAGTTGTGATCTGACCTGCCCTCAAGATCCCAGTATTTTAAAAATTTGTCATATCCTATTTGTGACAAAACTCCCTCCTCTCCTTTACCTATGATCTTGTGACAGCTGACGCACCACTACTGATGTACATGCAAAGAAATATGCACAGAGAAAAAAAAAGTCACCTACTGGTTAAGAACTCCCTGAAAATTGCTGGACTCCTAATAAAAATGCAATAAAAACACAAGAATTGGCAATGCAGGAAAAGTCTCACCTGTTAACACAGTAGTATCGACTCTGGGAAACGTAAGGTGTGCACTGAGTTTTTAACCGCTTTCTCTCCATCTCCTTCCAACTATCTTCTGTACATTTTCTCTTTGCCTGTGTTTCTTCATGTTTTTTCTCAACATATTCTGCATATGTCTGGATCCTATAACTTTCAGCATACCTGCTGGTGTTTACAGCTATGGGGAAGAAGAGTTATGTTATATGCACTGTTACATACACTTAAATGACAGCATGCCCTCTCCTGAAATAACCTATTTTGGAAAGCAGAAGGCAGTGGGCTATTTGTTCTGTTCACAGAAATGACTTCTAGTTCCCCTGTTAGTTATTAAAGAAAAAAAGAAAATGCCGTACTCTCCTGAATTGACACGGTATGTTTGAATTAGATGTTCAGAATTCTTCTCAAGAGTCAGACTTCGTACAAAAAGGGTTAAATCTACTCAGGACTTTTCTTTTAAACTACAAACCATCCATTCTCCACTTGTAACCCTCTTCCAGGTTACTTGTTGGTAAGAAAAGATTTCCTGCATTTTTTTCCTTTTTAGTCTCATTACTTAACCCAGCAGGTTTATTTTGCAAGTCTGCCAGGAAAAGACGACATTTGCAAAGCCTTTGCCAAAACTCTGTCTAATTGCTGTGAAACATAAGCTGATTTTTGGTTATACAAGACACCCGTGGAAGCAGCGCTGAACTAATACCCAGCTGTTCCAGCCTTGTATCTTTCTCCATTTAAAGAAAGATTGGGAGCTCAAGGTAAAAAGATTTCTGTCAATGTAAAATTAGAATCACTTAAAAAATAAACTTTCATGGCCTTCACTCAGCAACAATTTACCAACATTCCTTCAACTCCCGGCATCTTCCCAGCTCTCAGTCTTTAGTCTGCAAGCCAAGCTCTGGCCTGAAGCCATCACCAGAACAGATGAATCAGCAAATTAAACTGACTGTCAAATGGTGTCCTCTGCTGTTCCCAGCCTAACTCCCTGAAAGAAAGTACTGTAAACCAAGCAGTAAACAAGTTTAAATACAAAACAAAACACACAAAAAAACCCAGATCGTTTTTCACAGACTTGGGTTGCGAATTTGAAAATACTCTAATTGTAGCCAAGACAGAGTCTTGATTTTCTTACGTACTTCCAGTCTTTCTGTAGAAATTGCAGATATGTATCCAACTTCCTGACTGCACCTGAAGTCCTGCCCTCCTGAACACAGGTATTCTGTACCAGCTCGAGCCCAAGCACTACAAAGAGCAAGCTCCAACACCCCACTTCAGAAAACGTGAGGAAGACGGGCAGATTCGGGCTTGTTCCTCTTTCCAAACAGACCGGCTCTTCTGCACACGGGCTGTGCCACCGGGAAACAAACACCAGTCGCAGCACAGCGATGCCGCCACAAAGTCTGTCAGACGTACATAAAGCTGGGCAACAGCTTTATCTGTTTATCTGTATATCTGATGAGATACCAGCAGTTGTGATGAACAGCCCCAGGACACTGTTGCACCAACTGAAGACACGTCAGGCACAGCTCCTGTCACACCCGATGCTTGCTGTGACCTGGGAAGTTACGGGAGCTGTTTGCATGAACTGAGCGTGTGTTTCTTGCCCCTGAAGTTACGGTGCGGGCAGCATGGAGGAATGAATAGTGCTCGCCGGAGTTACTGCACGCCAGCCGACCTTCCTCGGGGTAACACTTGTTTAGTTAAACTCACATGTGTTCACGTGCTAAAGCCAAGCACAGTTACCATGGACGGCCTGAGAAAGAGCCATCTCCTCAAACACAATCACCATGTCACGTGATTTGTTTTGCTATAAACTAAGAGCCAGAGTTATGGCTCTTCAGTTTAATTCCCTTAAATTTGTGTAGGGCTCAACATTTTTGAACAAAGACAACCCAGCTTTCTTGAAATTAGACTTGCATTTTACAGCAATCCATTCCTATTACACACCTAAATCTATACACATACAAATCCACGCATATACATTTAATATAAAAAGTTCTACGCTGACTATGTTGCTTTGTGCATTGAACAACTGGAATGAAGGCATATGGAGAACCCAAAGGGGCCACACGGATAAATCGATCTTGAACATTTCTGAACTGAGGAGCAGCTCTGTAAAAGTTTAAAACACCTTTTCTCTGATGCTTTTTTCTGATGAATGCCAAACAAAGCAAACGCGGTCGCATCACTCTGCCGTGACAACAGAAGCAATGCCAGCATGCTTTGTGAATTCTGACAAACTAAAGAGAACGTGGGGGTTGATTTACTCATTTATGTAAATGATAACAGAGACGACAAATTGTTCACCTGACCTGGTACCCAATCCCACGTGGCTGCATTGCTTTACACCAGCTGCAGCCATCAAGTTCAGTTTCTGTCTCACAGGGGAATGACAGCAGTTACACATTATTTTAGGAAGAGCATTTCTAGAGGATGTCATCATCCCTGGTTATTAGGCAAGCGATTCAACAGGGGAAGGGGTGCTGAGCGAGCCCAGAGGAACGTGTACAAAGACACTTCCACCAAGTCCTTGCTCTCAGGCAGAGCAAAATCATGACAGGTGGCCACTGACAATATTAAGTCTCCTAATAAGTATACAAACATTTAAGTGGACTGTGTAGGTAAAAAACATCACTATATAAATAAAATAAATACAGAGAACTGTCGAGATTAGGGCAGCAATACTAAACACTCGAGTTTTTGAAATACTGACATAAAAATTCACCTGTGCAGCCTTCAAGTGACGTCCGTAGAGACGCTTCGTCAATCTTATCTGATCATGTCCTACTTAAAATACGGAACTGCTGCCTCAGTTGGATTGACAGGGTCCAATTAGCGAGTAACTAATTCCGTATTTGGTTTTATTCTCGTTATTCACTGTATGGTTCCACAGCCTTACCTAATGACTATTTATGCTGCATTTAAAATGCCAGAAGTTTGCACGTGTACTTTTGTCCTCGTAGCATTGTGCAGTGCTCCCAGGTGAGCGGAAGCAGCGATGCTGTGTGCCGAGCTTACCAACAGAAAGCAGAAGGCTCAACATCTCACATTAGAGGGTGTCTTCTCAGTTAATGTACATGAAATTAAATTTTCCACTACACAGAGCATTCAGTCAGCAAACGTATGAGCATATATATATATATGATGTTAAGTATTAGTGAAATTGGCATTACAGTGTTAATGTTTTGGATTTTTTCAGCCTATATGCAGTTTTTAGACCTTTAAGCATAGCGGGACAATTTCTGCTGCGAGGCATCACGCTCTTACATGTCTAAGAAATTTTAAATGCGCTTCGCCAGCCTTTCCCTTTAGAATTATGAAAGTCACTGATATTTGCTACTGTTAACTCAATATAAAAGCACTGAGAACACTCTCTGTTGGCTTCTTTCAAAAAAAGAAGGATGTACTTAACCATACAAGTGTGTCGCACCAAAAACCCTTTTGCACGTGCCAAGGTAACCGGAGCAGACTCGCCCAGCATGGCTGAGTGAAGCGACACTTATCAGTGTGCTTCTCGAGATCCCTGTCCTCAAGGAAGGGTAAAGAGAAGAAACACACTCACTGCAAACGGTTTGTTTAACAAAATAAAAAATTAAATAAAACAAGGTTTCAAGATCTCATGAAAGATCTAGAATCACCCTGCACTGAGGCATTGTGAAGGTGATGGGACACGAGATAATTAAAATTCACTCCATTTCTTTTACTGGTCAAAATATGTAACCATGTGGAGATCAGAGCCCAACTGCCTGCAGCCTCCGATTCCCTGTAGTTTTGGATCCCAGCATCACGCAGAAAAATTCCAAAACCCTAAAGAAGTGATTTCCTCTAGCGGCTTGTTACCGAATGGGATGGAGAATCCCACGCCTTGCTTATCAGCCCCTGTTCCAAGCTCCCTGCTCCTGTGTGCTTTTACGGTGTTTCTGGTGTTTATTGCCCTGTTGATGAGCTGGTTCAACTCACTGAACCACCAATAATTTGTCTGTCTTTATTTTTTTTTCTGGACACAGAACCAGCAAAAGCAAAGCAGTAAGAACTCAGTGTTGAAGAGGGGAAAGATTACTTCCCTTGATGTGCCCATGAAGGATTAAGACTGGCACAAATCCTGAGCTGTATTTGACTACCAGCACATTAAACATTTTGGCTAAAGCTGAGCAGTTGCAGGCAGGACACTCCTGCAAAGTCTGACGACGTTTCTGACACTTGTAAAGAACTTCAGAACAAGAACTAGTGAACTGAGCGTGGCGCCATCCCCAGGGCAGGGCTCTCAGCACTCTGTTCAGGGGTGACGCAGACATTTTGAGCTGGAGCACCTACGAATGCTCCGCATGTCGGGGGCTTCAGAAGGAACCATCCAGCAAACGAG